GAAAAACCCTCCAAGGAAGCCCATGCTGTGTGCTCCTAATTCCATGATGTGGGACACTCCAGAACTATCCCCATCCCTCCTCCGGGGCACGTATTTTATCTCCCACATTCACCACCTGAGCAAGTAAGTCAAGGCTGTGAAACCAGGACCTTCCCAAAGGAGATAAAGGGGAAGGTTCAGGAAGAGCCCCCAAAGAACCAAGAGAATCACACAGAGTCCAGCAAAGACTCAATCAGAGCAGTTCCCTTGGCGGTTCGGATCTATTACCGACATCTAGGCCCTTAGAGACCAATGGCACCCCAGTTCCCACAAGCAGTCCTGGGCCCCTGGTCCTGCATCCCAAGCACCCACAAGACAGAGTGGGGATGCTCAGCTGTCTCCCAGGGGCTCCTGCTCCTGCGTATATATATGAGAGACGGCCAGGGGTTTACAGCTCACACAGCCCTGAGGGAGGTATCCTACCTCCTCTGAACCTGAGTCAGATGCAGTGGCGCTCTCTGACCCAACCCCATGTGGCTCCCTGCTGCAGGAGACCCACAAGGGACGTGCTGGGTGAAGACCACCCGCCCAGCTTGCCAGGCTCGCAGATGTTGGGGAAGGACATGCACCGTGTCCTAGAGACTGGTCATCAAGTACCCTATTTTTAGGACTATAATACACACAGGACTGTAATATGCACCAGACCATAATACACACCCAAGTTTTAGAGGAGGAAAGTAGGAAAAAAATTTTTGAAGCAAAAAATGTGGTAAGGTGTTTAATAATATAAATAACACTATATTTCTGCCGGCCCCCCACAGCAAGCCAGGTGAACTACATTCAGACTATAAGACACACACCCCTTTTCCTCCCAAATTTTGGGGGGCAATGCATCTTAAAGTCTGAAAAATATGGTACCTATTCTCCACTGGCCTCTGCCAGCAGGTAGCCCTGCACACAGGACATCTCCTCACCACTTCTGCTACCACCGCCACCCCTGCTGTGGGACCAAAGGGAGCTGCCCCCCAACATACACTTCCTTGCATTTCTCTGGACAAACACCTGCTCACCTGCGAGAACACTGAGTGTATCAGGTGGGACAAGAACTTGGAGAAGAAAATGGAGATCACAGCTGCCTGCAGTGCCACTCAGACTGTCCCTTCTTTGTCTGCTCCACACACCTGCCCCTGGTCACTCAAACTTGCCAGGTCCCTGCTAATACCAACCATGTGGCTCCCCCAGGACCTGTTGGTCCCTGCACCTTCTCTGATGTCAAATATTGATCAGGACACAAGAGACACATTCCCTCACCCACATCGCACTGGTCACATTGAGTCTCTTCATTCTAATCACATTTTGGGAATTCCACTTCAACAGAATATAGTCCTTGTTCATTCATTCATTCATAACCACACAGCTCCTATTTTTGATTCCACAAACCTGCTAGCACCTGTTCTTCTTCCTGTGGTGTTTTGTGGAAATGAATCCCCAAAACAGCGAGTGTAGATCCACACCTTTCTCTTGTTTTAGCCAGCCATCATCCAGTCCCTTTGGAAGTACACCAGTTTACACTCCCAAACCCATCTCTTCTATGGCCATCCCTTCCTCCATCACAACCAAGCCCTCTGCATATCTGATCTCTGAGCCTATGTTAGACCCTGAGGTCACCGTCATGGACACTACCCCACTTCCTGCGCTGTCCCATTCGGATCTCCTCCAGGCTCCCGTGTGAGACCCCTCCTCCCTTCCCAGGTCCGATACACTATGTAGCTGAGGCTCCCCACAGTCTTTTCTGTCGGCCCACCTGCATCAAAGAACCCCTACCTCCCCCAATCCATTGCAATGGCCCCCAAACCACCCCAATCCACATCAGGGACCCCTGATGCTCAGCAGAAGAGATCTCTGAAGCCAGGACTCCTGTTAGCACCAGACTACCCCTCAGGGGTTCCATAGTCACAAGTGCTCATGTAGACAGCACCTCTGCAGACTCGAACCCTGCCATGGACACCTGAGTTATGGAGGCTGCTCCTCCTTCCCAGGCTGTGACTTTTCATTTTCCCTGTGGCTCTGGGGAGAACCACTCCCAACGACCATGGCACTACCTAACTCTGAGAACACACCACCCAGTTACAGCATTTTCTTGGCTTATGTGTCCTTGCATTTCCCTAAAAAAAAAATAGCAGAGAGACCCAAGTTTCCTACTCTCCCTAGGATCCAGGGACCACCTCTCAGCCCACATCTGGAGCCAGCGATGGTCAGCAAGCTTAAACATCTGGGCTGAACAACTTCTGCAGCCCAGCTTGCCAGAGGCAGCACAGTGCTCCCAAGTAGTGCCAGTTTACAATGGCTGGACCCCACTGTTTGATACCACTGTCTACACCAAGCTGGCCATGGGTGGCAACCCACATGCTGTCCCCATTGGCCCACCCTTCTTCCTGTTAATCTGCCTTTCTCCTGTGTCTTCACTCTAACTCAGCTGTGGAGGAAGAACTGACATGCATCGTGATGTGTTGAGCCAGTTGTAATGATGCACGATTTTTTGCATCCCAGTGACAGGGATGTGGCAGTAGTCACATGTTATGAGTGCAGGTGCTGACTCCTGAAATCTTGTTTTGAGTGTAAGGGATGAGAATCCAGGAGGAAGTAAGGTCCGAGGAAGGGAGAAGTGGGGTGACTTACCTTTGCCCCTTCCTTCTCCTTATCTATAAAAGGAGGCAGAGAATGTCTCCTTCACAGTGCGATTGGTAACATGCAAACAGGCTAATATTTGTGAAACACCCAGCAGAATCCTCAGCATAAAAGAAATGCATCCTTTTCCCTGTTTCTCAGCTCTTTGAAAATGGTGACTCATGTTAAAAGAATAGATAAAGAAGTCGTAAGAGCAAAATATAATTTGTTTATTAGAATCCTAAAACTCACATATTAAAAGTTAATAGAAATCTCTCATATACTCAGACTTTCCTGCAATTTCTTAACAAAATACAGTTTTGCTATGTTTTGTTTTATTCTTTCATTTTTCAGTCTGAGCCACTTCTCAGACCCGCTGAAGGACGTCTCTGTAACTCACCTGCACCAGATACCTTTGCAGAAGCTTGGGAGATTTGTTTGTTTGTTTGTTTTTTAAGTATTTTTGAACTGACATAGTATTTTTTAACTGATGTTGGGGAACCATTTTTTCCTGAAGTTTTTTTTTTTTTTGTATTTTTGGATTGACATGGAAAGAGTGAATGCCATTCCCTAATTTTTCTAATGGGCCCTTGTAGAAATGTTCTAAATTCAGAAAACCTTTGGCTCATATTCTGTGTGAGAGAAATTATCCCACATTTCCCTCTTCTTCTCCCTTTTTAGGGTTTTAACATTAACACAGGGCATACACATATTTTAGAGAAAATAGTAATTTTTAAGGTATAGTTAAAAAGCTATTTTCTAATTTAAAAATTGCCTGTTGGCTTATGTGTCCGTCCATTTACCTTTGTACCTTTAAAAATAATTCCATAGGCATTTTCTTCTTTCGATATAAATCTTTAATTTATATTCTGGTTTTGTTACATTTAGAGCCAATATTGCCTGTTTTTGTTTGGTTTTTGGCCCTTAAAAATGGTTTGTATATTGGGGTTGGGGGTGCAGAGCAACATTTGTGGATTTCTGGGGCTGGAAATGTCCTGATACTATGGAGATGAGAAGACTAATGGCCAGAGTCAAAATGTTTTGCCCAAATGAGTAGAATAGTCAATCAGTAGAAGAAATAGTCAGCAATGAAGCTTTTTGAGGACTGGGAGGAAGATAGGAGGGTAAAAGAGAAAAGTTCCCTTTGCCTCCCAATTTCTTGGGAGAAGAAAGATACAAATTGGTAATAGTATATGAGAAAATTAGGGTGCCAAGTAGATCCAGGGGAAGCAGAGAGTACATGATCACATGATACTACAAGTGCGGGGGAAGAGAGAACTCAAAAGACACTATAATTACCATGGTAAAGAAATCACCGTTACACTGTGCCGGCCACGTAGGTCCAGAACTTGTGTTAAAGGAAAGTAAGTGCTGCTTCCATATCATTCTTACTCCTTGGGTCCAAAAGAAGTGATTTGTAGCCCCTGGAGCTGGTGTCCTTTGGAATTTCATTGAGGTCCCTACAGGTGTTCATCAGACTTGGTTCTGAGCGGGGGTCTGCAACGTTCCATCAAGCTATTTCCCTCCTTTAATGCTTCCTTCCTTTCACCATATTCTTACTCCCATAACATTTTATGTGGTCATCATGCTAATGGGCAGTTGTCACCTACATCCAGCTCTGTCATCTGAACTCTGGGAAAGGCACCTCTCCCTAGTAACTGAGTCATATTTATTCTAAACACCAGTTCTCTCTAACCAAAAGGTGCAGAATGAAATGAAATAACACAAAGATTATGATACTTCCGCCTCTCACATAAAACATTTCATATCATTAAACTTTGATTTTCACAGAAATAGATTTATTAGGCTCAGATGCACATAGTTTTTCAGATTGAATGTGGTCATCTTCAGAGGTGACGCTCCAGAGCACAGAGTTGGCTCTACCCATAGTCCTTCCTGCATTTCCCCGTAGGGGACTGCTTACCCAAGGTGAGTATTCCATCTTGTTAGAGGTGCCCTCTTGTAGCAGCACGTATTATGGGATTGTTAGCATATACACACAGCAAAAAGGGCAATGAATATTACAGAGGAATTTAAGAGGAAGTTAGAGAGAAGGATTCTTCACAGAACAGAAACCGGGTGTTGGGTAGTGCTGGGAGCTGGCTGTAGGAGTCCGTGGCTGTCTGCCCCTCTGCTTCCCACTATATGACTCTTGTCTCAGGGCCCGTGCTCTCTGTGACGTTCTGCCTATGCTCCGAGTTCTAGACAGTGTCCCGTCTTAAGGACAGAATCTGATTTATACATATTCCTGATATCAGAAATCTAAGACATGAGATATTGAGTACTTACATTACCATCCCCCCAAATCTCACAGAGAACAAATCCTCCACCTTCAAAACTCTCTCTGGTATCCCTCACACGGCTCTCTGTGTCCACTTCCCTCTCTGCAGGGCACCCTTGACCTCTGCATTCCTCAGGCTGTAGATCAGTGGGTTCAGCATGGGGTTGAAAAGGCTGTAAAACAGAGAAAGGACCTTCTGCTGCTCCTCAGGCTGGCTGGATTTGGGAGCCATGTACATGACGATGGCGCTGCTGAAGAAGAGCCCGACCACACACAGGTGGGAGGAGCAGGTGGAGAAGGCCTTCCCGCGGCCCTCCCCAGACTGGATCCTCAGGATGGCAAAGGGGATGCACGTGGAGGACACCACCACCGAGCACAGGGGCCCCACTAAGACAAACACAGAAGCAACAAAGATGACAAGCTGGTTGAGCCCAGTGTCAGCACAGGCCAGCTTGAGGACAGACAGGATCTCACAGAAGAAGTGGTTGACTTCACGAGGCCCACAGAAGGGCAGCCTCAGGATGAGAACCACATGGACCAGAGCCAGGAGGGAGCCACATGCCCAGGACGTGACAGCCAGGACCGTGCAGACTCTCCAGCTTATGATGACAGAGTAATGGAGGGGGTGGCAGATGGCCACGTACCGATCATAGGACATCATTACCAAGATGAGACATTCCGTGTGAGCAAAAGCCATGTATAAAAAGGTCTGTATTATACATGGGACAAAGGAGATAGTTTTTTCCTTGTTCAGAAAGTTTTCCAGCATCTTTGGGACATTGTTGGAAGCATACGAAATATCAACAATGGCCTGATAGGAGAGGAAGAAGTACATGGGGGTGTGCAGTCGGGAGTCCAGCCAGATGAGCCCCAGGATGACCCCGTTGCCCAGCAGGGTGATGGTGTAGAACAGGGAGAAGAAACCAAAGAGGAGCATCTGCATCCTTGGGCTGAACGGGAATCCCAGCAGAATGAATTCTGTGACCCATGTCTGATTTTTCATCATCTGGCAACAGTGGCTGGGTGGGTCACTGCAGTGTGCTGTGTGCTAAGGAGCAAATGCAGATCTGGATCAGCTATGAAGCCCAAAGGGGTTTATGGTGTACAACTGTGGGCTGGCTCAGCTAGCAAACTCTTTCAGAGTCATCGTGTCAGTTCCTTTCATCCACACTTAAGCAGAAATTCTACAGCATTTGATGAACTTTGACTACAAGATCCACATTTTCACCACCACAATGGCATCCACAGAGTGAACTGTTTTCCAGACTGACTTGTCCTCTCATTTTGGGGAATGGCCCACAGCTGTATTCTCATATAGCTTTACTTGCTCATTTATGTCATTTTAAAATTTTGTTCTTATGTCTCTTTCTCACTTGATTTGCTCCTATTATAGAACATGTGCAGAGTACTTTGCACTTTGCAGGTGCTCAATAAATGAGCACAGAGTAAATATATGAATTAATGAATTAGGGAATGAGATTTACAAATGCAGTGACAAAGAGGTCCATTTTTCTCTGTGTCCACTAGGTTTAGGGCTTTAGTAGATGTTGGCAGTAAGTTTTTTACTCACTGATGCTATGCAGGAGAAGCTGGCTCACTCCCTCCTAGGCATGAGCAGAGTGACATCACTAATCTGGTCGGCATTCAGAGAAGGAATTTATGGTACAGAGTCAGGACAAGCAGTTATCTAGGTAAGGAGTTAACAATATGATATTACCCCAACCTCTTACGGGGCTTCTCCCTGGTTCTGAGTAGATGCTGTTTCTGGGACCTGCCACATTTGAATAGTGCCCAATACATTTATTGGATGGATGGATGGATGGATGGATGGATGGATGGATGGACAGACGGAAGCTATTATATTAGGAGTAACATCCTAAGTGTATATCTTGGAATTTAATAAAGTTCTTTGACTCTTCTTTCATTTTCTCTGGCTGCCATTCCACCAACCATACAGCCACAGGGGTACTAAAAGGGAAAACTTAAGATGTCCCATAGAGATATACACCTACTACATGACAATTCATGAGAAACAAGATCATTCTCAGTGAAGAGCTCAGATCTGCACATTCCAACCCAACCTTAAGCCCAGAAAACTGCCTACCTGTAACTTGACCCTGTACTTCCTGTTCGGTATGCTGGCTGATTTCTGGATCCCTTCCTTCCTTCCTCCAGACCCCAGCTTCCCCAAATTACCACACTTTGCCAAAGGCCCTTTACTCGCTGTGGCACCAGCCTGGTCTTATCTCAGAGATGTTAGATTTAGAGGGAATTGCATGGAAGTGAGGAGAGACTTTGCAGGTTGGAGCTGAGGCTCTCACTCCCTCCAACAGTCTTGGAAAGAGGGACTTTGCAGGTGCCAGAGTCGCCCCTGTTCTCTTGACACAGGGACTGGGGCCTGCTCACTGACAGCACCAGCTATAAAGGTTTTAGGTGTGGTAATTTCCACTGAAACCCTCCTCGATTGTTCCTGAGGGTCCCTGAGGGAGATGGGGCAAGGACACAAAAGACACAGACATCATCTCTACCTGGAGAATTAGAAGATGTTTGTCTTTCTGTCTCCATTTCTCTGGGCTGTGCAGACAGATGTTCAGAAGAAAAGGAGCTGGTGTTATTGACTTAATACCCAACTGGATCCATGCACATGAAGCTCATATAGCAATAAGGACAAACATACTCATGGGACCACATTGCAAATTGCAACCCCTAAGCATTTGGAGGGTGATGGGCTCCTGGATCTCAGCCTTGCCCCAGACAGAATTAGTGGAGCTTGGAGGAAGCAGAGCATCATCCTTATGAAATAATGACTTAAAAACTGGCTTTGAACTCTTCCTCATTTTCTCCTAGATAACTCTCAGTTGGGTATTGGTAGATAAGGAAAACATTTCTATCAACCTTTCCACGCTTGGTGAGAAAGATGCTGAGACCTTTTTACATAGTACCTGAGGTTTCTATATAGAGTATTGGAACTAAGGGAAGATAGAAACCAGAGAAAGCTGGCCTTGAAGAGGTCTCTTGGGATTTAGAGGACAGGGAATGTCAAATTCATGTCTTTACTATGATATACTCATGAAGTTCAGTGAACATTCTGGTAGAATGATGCCTTGGAATGAGGTGTCATTTTTATATAACACAAAATGTAAGTAAAGAATTTCTTGAAAATTTTCCTGATTGTCTCTCTTATGAGTCAGGCATGCATGTATGTATGTGTATATTTACATGTGTTTGCTCAATGGGCAAAGTTCATTCACCAGAACGATTTCACTTCTTTTAGAGAGAAGTAGACTTTTAATGTGTATACGTCATGGTTCTCTGTTAACAAGGAAGGAAAGAAAATATGCCTATGGTTTTTGGTTTATATGCCTATGGTTTACACATCCTAATACATAATTCAAAACACACTTATTTCCATTGGCAAAACAAAGAAGCTCAAGGAATAACTACCCTAAAACCTCCAAGAAAGTGATAAGAAAAGTTTAGAAGCCGTGCATAGTGGTTTAAAAACTAACAGAAGCACTTAACTAGATTAAATAAATTAACTCACTATCTAACACTGGAGATTTTAATAAATATTACTGAGATGAGTTTCAATTTCTATATAGTATCTCTCCATGTATAAACACTTTATATTCACAGTTATTTATATGTAGATATTTAATTGAGTCATTTATTTATAATTCACTCATTCAATTTACACTTATTGAGTATCTGCTATATGTGGGCATTATCCTACATGCTGGAGAAGCAAACATTAATGAGATACTACCTTGAACTTCAAGGACATTAGGACATTACAGTTTTCCTGTACAGTGAGCCATGCAAATAAACAATTTGGGGGCTGTTTTAGAAGTGTGCACAGTATACCATGGAACAATGGGAAGGTGTGCTAGATTACTGTGAAGGGGATTTAGACTGGCCTCACAGTGAATGGGATGCTTAGACACCATGGGGGGAAGACGTCAGATGGATGGGACATGCCAGGCGTACCTTAGGGTATGAGAAGGGCACAGCAAAGGAATAAGAATGACATTGGACAGAAGGTTCACAGACAAGCTTTGGCCCCATGCCATAGATATTGGACTTCATGTGGAATAAGGGTAGAATCGTATGGCTAAATATGTGATTACCAAGACTACTTGTTGTTTAGTGTAGAGGAATGTTTAAAAGAATAAGGTTGGAGGCTGTGAGGCCAAACTATCTAAAGAGTCCAGATGTGCAAGTGACAGATGACTACCTGAGTAAACACAGGGACAGGCAGGACAGAGTGTGCTAGAAACATGTAAAGGAAACTCAGTTATCAGTATTTCATGATTTTTTTTCTGTAGGGTGAGGAAAAAAGCAGAGGTCAGCTATTTCCCTAGTTTCTGGCTTATGTGGCTATGTAGAATGGTTTTATTCATTTATACAGACAACACTTAGGGAACAGTATTTGTGGCAAGGGATTAAAAGGAGTATAGTTTTTAACGTGATGGGCTTGATGGGCCTGGGGGATATATAGCTGGGTGTGTCCATTAAGCAATTAACTAAACTGTTTCAGAGTTCTTTAGAGATATCTAGGCCAAAGATAAGGATTTGGGAATCCCATGTATTAGGTGATAGAGGCAAGGTTAATTAAAAAGGTCATTTAAGGACAGCAGGTTCAGTGAGAAGAAAAGAAAAAACTTTATCCTACGAATGACCAATATTTAATAGATGGACAGAGGAAGACACACCTCCAAAAGAGAGCAGGAAGACCAGAGAAATAGGCAGCAAATCAGAAAATATGAGTGAAGGAAATTGAAGAGCCATGT